GGAAGAATTCCCCTCGTTAAACATTTATCTTGAACAATGCATGTAGCCCTTCAATCTCTTTTTCTCCCTTTCTCCATTCCGTTGATGTATCTTAATTTACTCAAAGCAGATACAAGAAGTATCGGAGCAAGAACTCGCTAAAGTAAAGGAGGCTTTGGAAGTAACATGTAAGACTCACAAGTTACTCTTTGCTCAAACTTGGATTCCTGTGCTTGATTCAAGTAGAACACAAATGTTGATCACCTCGCCCCCAACAAAATATTGGGGTGATGATATAGCACCTCTTGAATTTTTGGCTATTAGTGACCTACATCATGTACGCATTGGGCAAGGATTAGTCGGAAAAGTGTTTTCATCAAAGGGTTCATGCTTTTGCAGAGATATAACTCAATTAAGCATAGATTTTTACCCCTTAGTACCAATTGCACGCTCTGCTAGATTTACCGCCTGTTTTGCAATTTTTGTGAGACTGAAGAATGCGAGCAGCATGGTACTAGAATTCTTTTTACCTCGTGATGAGACACTCGATGGAAATCCGCAAAGTTTCTTGAACAAGCTATTAGCCACAATTGGAGAACAACTTCCAAGCTTTTCTCTAGATTCAGGACCAAGCTTTTTTGTTGAGGTTATCGGAACTGCTCTTGTTGATGGGCTTGATTTCTTTGAGATAAGCCAACCACAACCAGTGGTTGAACCAAAGGGAAACAAAAAAGTGATGCATTTTTATTCCTTGAATCAATAATCCGCTGATTTAGGAGCGTCGAGTTCAACTGATATAGGAGCTCATTACATGGAGATTACAAAGGATACTCCTGGTATACATGGTATTGCTATTTCTCAAAAGATTTTGGAATTAGAGAATAAAGAAGAATCTGTGCTGCTAAATTCAGCACACCAACAAGGAGTTGAGGAAGCTGCTGCGGTGGACAAAGAAAGGAATTTTGTAAATTTCAAGGAGAATGAAGTTTCCTATACTGATTCAGACATATTTGCAACATTTATTGTTGATCCAGAGCAAAATTTGCAAAAAAACTTGTCTATTATTGAAGCTTCTCTTGATGAAGAACTCGAGTCCTTTGACATAGGCCAGCATCAACTTCCTTTGATGGTAAAATATGACACCCTCAATCAACTATCTGATATTGATCCTTTGAGTTCATCTGATTTTGAAGAAATTATAACTGTGGATTATGGATGGGACGCTCGCATGAATCTTCAGTCAAAAGACAAAGGAGAAACTACACAGCCAGATTTAGCATATCAACAGAGAGGGGAGGCAGCTGAAACAAAGGCATTCTCTGCATGTCAAAGAGAGTACAAATTCCCATAATTCCCCAGAGAAACATAAAAGGATAAAGAGGATAGAAAAGGAGTTGAAAAACAGTCAGTGAATTCCAGTCAAGAAGACCTGCAGCCACATGCTACATTGACTGATCAGAGGAAGAAACCTACGGCTACATTTCAGAGTGACAACGCCATGAGCGTAAAGGTAACTTACAAAGATGTAACTGTAAAGTTTCCACTGTCTCTTTCATCGGGGAAAATCGATTTAGAAGCAGAAATCGGAAAGAGATTGAGAATACCTATAGGAAGTTGTTCTATCAAGTATGAAGATGAAGAAAATGACTGGATTGCAATAACATGTGATTCAGATTTAGAGTATGGAATACACACTTTAAGATCATTAGGAAGAACTACAATGAAGATGTTGGTTGAGCCCTTGAATTAATTTTACTGATTATTTACATGTATTAACCCTCCATTTATTAGTGTTCACCATGATCTTTCTTACATCAGGTAAAAGCTTTGCTTGAGCAAAATGATTTTAGTTTAGTACGTTAATGCCAATGTTACTGAGTAAATTCTCTGATCTCTCTTAACTCTCTCCGTCCTATAAAAAAAGGCAGCCCGGTGTACGAATCATCCCGTGTTATGCAGGGTCCGGGGAAGGGCCGTACCACAAGGGGGTGTGACGTAGACAACCTATCCTAATGCAAGTATCATTAGCTGATTCTATGGCTCAAACCCGTGACCTATAGGTTACGCTGAGACAACTCCCCCCTTCCTATGGTATTTTTAAATGAACCCAACATAGTCCATGCTACATTTATGTTTCAGTTCATGTGAAGCTTCAAGAACTTATTACTTGAATATTAGTATTTGCCATTATATATAAAGTATTTGCCATTATATAAAAACAGATGAAGAGAGCAAGATAGCTGTGTGGTTACAAGCTTCAAAAGTGTGTGTCAAAAAACAAAAGACTTAAAAATTTAGGTAGAGAAAGTAATTATCGAGCATAATCTAACATCAATGTTGAATAAATAAACTTACTTTGAAGATAAATAAGTGAAACTAAGGATGGTAATGTAATAGAAAAATAGGACTACTGCTTCCTTTTCCTCTCTTTTATCTTATACGGTAGTGTTTGAATGAACATCAAGTTTAAAAAAGAAAGAATAACATTTGAAATATAATAAGATATACTATAATGAACTAAAAATGCTCAACATCAACAACAACGACAACCCAGTAAAATCCCACAAGTGGGTTTGCGGAGGATAGTGTGTACGCTGACCTTACCCTTACCCCGATGGGGCAGATAGGCTGTTTCCGATAGACCCTCGGCTCAAGAAGAGAGAAAAGACGAGAAGAGACAATATATCTGTTTAACCAAAAAATAGAATTTCGGTTAAAACTAGAAATTAAGAGAAAAAATCGGGTTACTGATAATCAGGAGACGACAAGAATAAGGAATTTTGAGAATAATAAAGCAGTAAATAAGTTTGTATTTCAATGTAATCTCAATGATATTTCCTGTCCTTACAAATGCCGAGATCTCCTCCTTTTATAGTTGATTTTTCTAGGAAAAAGTATAATGTCTCAGTCTTAAAGAGGCAATTATGAGCATTAAATGGCATTAAATGAAACGTTACACAATCATTCCTATTCAATGCTGATTCGTTAACGTATTTGGCATTTAATACTGAATTTAGACTCCTTTATGCTATCAGATTCATATCTTCAATTCCTTCTGACCTCCTGGCTTTAATTAAGTTAAATAGATACGAGACTCGTATCATTTGAATAGCATCTCGTGCCTATTTAACTCTCTTCTCTTCGTATCTGATATCGCCCGTGCCCCTCAATTGATCATCATGTTTTGACCATTTGACCAGTCCACGTGTTATGCCACGTCACCTTCAATATAAATTCAGTTTTTTCCCAATACAATATCAGTACCGTCAAATGAAACCATAGAAATAATAACAGCATCATAAGAACCAGAAAAATAGATGATATGCAATAACAATAACCAGTAATTAAGGCACGGTGCTGTTAAAAACAGAAGGATAATGTGAACTCAACAATAACCACTAGTCGTCTAAGATCAACTCTATCAAACTAGCCTTAGCCCCGGTTTGAAGTAGAAAAAAGCTCGACTACCTCCTAGGCTACAACCCTAATGCTCGACCTCCATACCTTCCCATCAAGGGCCATGTCCTCGGAAATCTGTAGTCCCCATGTCCTGCCTGATCATCTCTCCCTAATACTTCTTCTGCCATCTACCTCTTCTCGTACCTGCCAAAGCCAACCGCTCACACCTCCTCACCGGAGCATCAGGGCTTCTCCTCTGCACGTGCCCGAACCATCTGAGCCTCGCTTCCGGCATCTTGTCATCCATAGGAGTCATGCCCACCTTCTCCTGAATATATTCATTCCTAATCTTATCCATCCTAGTGTGCCCGCGCATGCATCTCAACATCCTCATTGTTGGGGTTTTAAGTTATTTTGGCTTAAAAGAGGGTGAATGAGAAATGGAGGGAAAATAAAATATTTGAGTTTTCCTCCTTGACAAAGGGACATTGTCCCATATTGGAGGGGATTATCCTGGGAGAAAATAATCCACAACCTTGGGTACTAGGAGGGGATTAACTTCCTTAAGGAAACACTGTGAATTCAGTGGGCTCGGATTAAATTCTGTTTCTTTTCATTTATGTTATACGTTATTTTATATTCTCCAGAATTATTTTACAAAATACAATTTACTAACAAGCTTAAGGAACTTAATTATTTTCTGTATTTGTGTTATACTCACTGTTCTGGAGACTAAAACCTTTGTAGTTTTTTACTCAAATTGGAGATTAAAATCTACGTGATTTTAACGTTTATTTGTATCATTCTTTTACAGAAATGACGAATGACAATGGGAACCAGACTGTTCCTATGGTGAATGCCAATGCATCAACAAGCCGAACAACACCGGCATTAGCACCGGCAGAAAAACCCAAAAAAAATTTCGGGATTGATTTCAAGCGGTGGCAGCAAAGACGTTCTTCTACTTCACGACTTTAAGTCTATAGAAGTTCGTTAAGGAAGATGTTCATGTTCTGCCCGACGAAACTCCAGAGAATGAATGCTTTCTCGTGAATAAGGCGTGGAAGCATTCTAATTTTCTATGCAAGAATTACATTCTTAGCTGACTGGAGGATGATCTATATAACGTCTACAGTAATTTGGAGACGTCAAAAGAACTGTGGATTGCGCTTGAAAGGAAATACAAAACTGAAGATGCCGGGTTGAAGAAATTCGTTACCACTAAATTTTTGGACTACAAAATGGTAGATAGCAAGTCTGTTATTACCCAAGTCCAGGAATTGCAAGTGATTATTCACGATCTCCTTGCTGAGGTATAAGTCAAATTAATATTGATGTTGAAAGTATTAATTATATTGTTTTTACTAACAGAATTTTCATTGAAGGTCTTGTCATCAATGAAGCATTCCAAGTTGCAGCGATGATTGAGAAGTTGCCACCTTTGTGGAAGGACTTCAAAAATTACATGAAACACACGCGCAACGAGATGTCGCTTGAAGATCTCATTGTCCAGTTGAGAATCGAAGAGGACAACAAAGCTGCTGAAAAGAAAGGCCGTGAAAACTCAACAATAATGGGAGCAAACATTGTTAATGATGCTCCTCAAAATAATCGAAAGAGGAAGAAGGCTTCTAGACCGAAAAGCAACCCAAGCAAGAAGCGGTTCAACAGAAATTGCTACAACTGTGGGAAAGCTGGACATAAATCTGCAGATTGTTGTGCTCCAAAGAAAGAAAAGAAGAAGGGTCAAGCAAACATGGTTGAAAAGTACGAAGATGTTGATGACTTGTGTGCTATGCTTTCTGAATGCAACCTGGTGGAAAATCCTAAGGAGTGGTGGATTGATTCTAGAGCCACTCGCCATGTTTGTGCTGTTAGAGAAACGTTTGCTACATATGCTCTCGTTGGACCCAAAGAGATGCTTTCTATGGGATATTCTGCAACGGCCAAAATTGAAGATGTGGCAAGATATTTCTGAAAATGACTTTTGGAAAGGTGGTGACTCTGAACAACGTCCTTCATGTTCCCGAGATTAGGAAGAACTTAGTCTCTGCTGGACTTCTCTTTAAGAATGAGTTTAACTGTGTCTTTGTATCTGATAAGGTTATAATAAGTAAGAATGAGATGTTTGTAGGAAAAAGGTTACCTCACCGAGGGCCTTTTCAAACTGAATGTAATGATCGTTGAGAATAATAAAACTTCAGTTTCTTCTTACTTACTTGAGTCAAATGAGAAAGAATTGTTCATTAAAAGAGATGATGAACGCATTGTTATAAGTTCTGGTTTGCCACAGAACTTGTGGGAGAAGCCATTCTGATGGCTAACCGGATACTAATCGAGTACCCCATAGCAAACGCAATCGATTCCATATGAAAAATGGAAAGGAAGGAAGCCCAACTTGAATTATTTCAAAGTGTGGAGGTGTTTGGCAAAAGTGCAAGTTCCTAAACCCAAAGGGGTAAAAATAGGACCGAAAAACGTTGATTGTGTTTTCATAGGATATGCGACCAACAGTAAAGCATGTCGATTTCTGGTTCATAAATCAGAAAATCCCGACATTCATAATAATACGGTTATAGAATCAGATAATGCTGAGTTCTTTGAAAATATCCGTATAAAAAGGAATGTGAGTCGATTGGTGAAGGATCTAAATTACCCCGGGAAGAAATAAAAGAAAGTACATTTAATCAGGAGGATCCAAGACGTAGTAAACGTGAAAGAATGTCTACTTCATTTGGACCTGATTTTGTGACTTTCTTATTAGAAAATGAGCCTCGAACATTTAAAGAAGCTATGTCTTCTTCGCAATCATTATTTTGTAAAGAGGCAGTCAATAGTGAAATAGAATCCATATTGAACAACCATACATGGGAATTGGTTGATCTTCCTTCTGAAATAAACTGTTGGGTTATAAATGAATTTTTAAGAGGAAAACGAAAGATGATGGCACTATTGATAAATATAAGGCAAGACTTATGGTCAAAGGGTATAGACAACGAGAAGGTCTTGACTATATTGATACATACTCTCTAGTTACAAGAATTACGCACGAATATTAGTAGCATTAGCTGCAGTTTATGGTCTTGAAATTCATCAAATGGACGTTAAGATGGCCTTCTTAAATGGAGATTTGGAGGAAGAAATATACATGGAACAACCTGAAGGGTTTGTGGTTCCAGGTAAAGAAAAGAAGGTATGTAGACTTGTTAAGTCCCTTTACAAACTAAAACAAGCACTCAAACAATGGCATGCAAAATTTGACCAAACAATGTTGTCAAATGGTTTTAAGATAAATGAATGTGATAAATATATGTGCATTAAAAATGTTCCAAATCACATAGTCATTTTTATCTTATATGTG